GAAAAGCTTTACTGAACGAGAAAAAACGACATTAATGAAATTGATAGTTTCACAATAGGACATAATTGAAAATATTAAGGTATTTGCTTGACAGGTTAATTTAATAATAAATTAAAACATGTTAGGCAAGGTGAAAATTATTATGCATTTTAGACTGATTTTGTTAATTTCGAAAAAAAACCAATTCTTGGGAGAAAATAACCGAGCTGTACAATAGTAATAATCCAGAAACCGGAAACCGAATAGTTTTAGAAAGAAATTATGATTCTTATCAGCATATATTAACGAATTTATAAAAGTTACAGACACAAAATTGGACCTGTATGTACAGGTCCGGTAGCCAATAAATTGCACACCTATTAACACTAACGAGCGTTCAAGTAACACCCAATTTTTTTTTTTTTTAACAGCTAGTAGTGAGTTAAAGGCTCTGTAAATCGCTAATGAACGTTTATGCAACCCAGTCTAAGTTCGTTGCCCCAAGTATAACCCCGAGTGTTCGAATATCAGTAACCGTACGCGTATTGAATATTATAATACGCGAGTGTCGTTTTTCGGTAAATAACTCAACAGTTTATTGTTATTGTTTGCGTTATTATTTTTAAATTACAGGTAAAACGCTCGTTTTTATAATACTATATGTTTGTGTCAAACCCAAAGTACAACCCACAAGTCCGCAGCACTATACGGTCTGGATTTCATTTTCCATAAATATTCTTTAGAAAACGTATTAGCTTTCTGATAACACATCCAAAACGAAACGTCTTGCAAGTAGATAATAATGGACCAACGGGTCTCGTGGAAAACGTATAAGATGCGGCTGGTTGGTAAACACCCGGGAGCCCGAAACCCGCGACGTCGTGCATTATTTTTTGCCGAAATTGATTAATTTTCGGCAACGTAATGTTATAATGTTTCAAAAATAGTTAATACATAGTTGTATTATATATATTATAAAATGTATGGAGAAAAATGGGTTATTCCGCGAACGAGAATTTTTACGCCATCTGTTTATAATTAATGTATTCGGGATCTTTTGAGCAAAAGCGCGGTGGCTTTGATGACGGGGTCGTGAGACGCTGCAGGATTAAATGCGGTCGGGGTAAAGCGGAGAAAAACTCGGGTTTTGGTGTGACAAGAGGATTCCGATGAGACTAAAGCCGAGTTCTACAAATGTATGAGACGGTGGGACTAGGGTTGCACCCTACTCGAATCAACTGATAATATCGAAATGAAAATTTCGGATTTCGATACGTGATTAGAAAACTGAAAAAAATAAACTCAGATAACGGAGAATTTTGAAAAAATGTTTTGGATAAAGTAATATCAGACGAAAAATTCGCACCTTTAGAGGTATTTTGTGAACAAATCAGATCATTTTTTTCTAACCAAAAAAATATTTTCTGAAAAAAAAAAATTTAATTGGAATATCCTATCCAAATACCTACAAATAAAAATAAATTAAAATCTGGTTTTCATCACTTTTCTTTATTTATTAATCTTAAAAATTGTCAAATACTTAAAGACATAATAGATATCGTATGTAGTCAAGTTAAGTAAGAAAATTGCCGAAGACAAAACTTTAACAATATGGTAATGTTATATAATTTGAATGACCAATATGGTTTTTTTTTTTTTTAGAGAAAATATTTACCTATTTTACGTTTCAATGTTTCAATTTTACGTTTTTATCAGCTTTAACGGTGATTTCAATGATTTCTTCTCTTCTCCAGTCAATTTTGAATAGCCAGCTTGTAAACTCTCGGAAAATAAATTCTTATTTTTTTTTTTGAAAAAATTCTATAAAATGTTTATGAATATCAGTGGCTTATTTTAATATATCTATTATTAATTTCTTGAACCGGTATTTTCTTAGTTTTTTTCGTTATTTATACTATGTACTAAGATTCTTGTGACAACTCCATAAATCATATTTTTTTTCTTCGTATAGCACTTCAATTGTTGTAGATGTCCAGTTGTGTATAACTGTGTACCTGGCGTTTTATAGGTTTTTCAATTTCATCATATTTACAATCAAACTTTGTGTCGTAAAGATATTATAAATATTATAATTATTATGGAATTTATTTTAAATCTACTACTTACTAATAACAAAAAATCCGAATATATGATAAAATAATAAATAAATATATACTATATTATTTGATAAGAACTTTACCAAAATTACACAATTTAAAATGTATAAATAAATAAAATGAAGATACTTGGAATATTATATGTTTATACGCATATAGGAACCTATTTATTATTCCATAATAATTTATTCAGAATATTGCATTTATGTGTTTGGTAGTAAATTTTAAATTGAATTTCATGATACTTATGGTCGTTTTTAATTTTATGAATATTAACTTACAGGTATCAAAGATAAACTCAATGTATAGAAATCAAAACAGTAATAACGTTTTTGAGTCCGTGAAATGATTATCGATATAGATAAATATATATGTTTCTCGATGGACGATGATTATGAAAAAAAGAAATATTTTTATTTTACAGGGTGATTACTTTTTGAAAAATACAATTTTCATCTAGAAAAATAAAGAATGGGCAAATACCCATTGCTTACCTATCAACGTTTATTTATCCGACGGGTACTCGGAACCCATCACTATAATATGTAATCTGATTATCTGTTTACCGATAATAATGTAATTATTTTTGTACGACGGTAGTCCACGAAATAGATACAAATTTTTTAAAAAGTAATTTATATTTTTCGATTATTTTTTGCCAACATTTTAAGCCGTATTTGTTTGGAAAATCACGTACGAAACGTTTCATTTTTGTTCTCTCTCGTGGATCATTTTGCGTTATAAATTTTCGAACAATTTTTTTTTTTTTGAATATGCATATGTTGCGTATTAATGACAATAATTATTTTCTTCTTCGTACAACACCTTGATTTAGATTATAAAATGACTTGTGTTCAAAATGATTAATCGTCATGATTGATCATTCCCACAACATATAGTTATATTTTGAATAAAAAGTTACCATTACTATTTTAATCTAAATACAAGATAATTAATTATTTAAGTTAAATCAACGTGACTTTTCAAAACAATTTTTTTCCGATGTTACATAATACGTGAACAATGCAAATTTTTAATTTAATTTAAAAATTTAAGTTTCAATAATTATTTGTTAATCTATTATTATTTAATATTACATGTTAATGTTGATTAAATTTGAAACCTAAATTTAATAAATAAATACTCATATTTTCATAAACATTCACGTGCAAAACTATTTAATATCGATAATCTACTTTCAAACCTAAATCAAATATTTATACAATCACTGTTGAAGTAATTGCAAAACGTAACGCGGGCATAAAAACTCCTTTAAAAATTCTATGCTCGAATCAATTACTTAGTAATACTTAGCCATTTTTATAGTTTCTGTTTTTTAATCATCCGATAAAAAATTATTGTATTACGCATTCGTCGGGATAACGAAACGTAGAATCGAAATATGCGATTTTCAATTACACACACCGAGTGAAAATATAGATGCGTTAAACATAAGTGCATGGTTTTAAATCAATAATGTAAATCTATTTTGTTCAAATTTACTGCGATAAAACGTTTATGAAAATATTTATGATATTTATCATGATTTATCGTATTGGTAAGTGGATTTTAAAAATTACATACTTACTTATATCTACAATAAACAATAACGATTGCGTTGAATTTAATTATCTTTTAAATTCCGTCAATTAACTTGTTATCACCGGAAAATAAAAAAATTAAATATCCCTTTGATGTACAATATATTCAATGGTTTTTTTCACTTCAAACGGAATTTAAATTAAAAATGTATTTGTAATCACAATGCATATGTAGATTTTGTCGGGAATTCGTTATAAATATATTATTACGAATAATCATAATGACATTCGATTATCGTGGCTCATTTAATTTCTACATTTTCGATTCCGAACGTGTTTTTTTGTTCTTTTGAAGTTTTTTGAGAATAGACATCAGCGAACGTAATAAAATAAATGAACTAGACGACTAAAGAAAGAAAAAAATAAAACAAAATGTCGTTAGGTCGGGTTTTTTCTCTCCTTGTTTCCACCCAGAATCGCTGCTTTATAGGATATTGTTTTCTCCCCATCCCGTTCGATTATTATAATATCGAATCTCTCAGGGTTTGAAAATGGTTTTTTTTTTTCGGAAGCTAAATTTATTCACGAAAAAGACGAAAGTGCAGTAAAAATATCGTCGTTTTGAATACACGTTAAAGTAAATGCTGGAACGTCAAACTTCAATGTATATAATCATAGACTTACAAGAAAGAGGTGGATCCGTTATGTCGAGTTTTATTAAAACAACATTTAACGTAACGTTAATGTTCATTTTAAAAAGACTACGACGTGTTCGTGAATAGTCCGAGTCCGAGTGCTTTGGTTACTTATTATGCTCGTTGATTTAAAAAACATTCTCCGGGCTTTTATTTCCCTTAAAGAAATATTTATGCTTATGGGCTAGGTGGCGGATATCATAGGGTGTCAGAGTGTTGATCAAAGGCACCTTTTTCAAATGCACGGTAGAATAGTTTCGAGTACCGAGGAAACGACTACAGCTGTCAAAAATTTAAAGCCGACAGATCAATTAACAGTATTATTGACAGGAAAAGTGATTAATGCGCAATTCCATATTTCACAATATTTCGGACAAAAGAGTTTTTTCGATATGCATTACGATGTATAAGAGAATGTCATTATTTCCGAATGACTATTACATTTTCAATTTCACGATAATTACGAAGAAATTAAATCGTTTTTAGCTATGTTATACAAAATATAAGATAACCAAATTCCAAAATTAAACATGATAATTGTTTATTCTCAGGCATCTGCCGCGGGAAAAATCGTTTTTTTTTTTTGACGCTGTAGTTAGTTTTTATTTATTTTGCGGTAAGTTTGGGTCCGCGACCAAACATATTATATATACACAAAACATTTCATTTCAGGACAAGGTTTGCAGTCACTATTAATTCTATAAATAATGTTCACAATATTTTTGAACCTGTTTTTTTTAACATAACAACGTAACTTCCGTCAACCAACTCATAAGTAATAGAATATGATTCAAATTCTAATTGAATTCGATATTAATCCTCTCTGTCATTTTTATTAATCGTGTGTTTAAAACATAAGATTGTCCACAGGCGTTATAATCTCTATGGAGATACCTAAACTTTTTGCTGATTTTGTCGACACTTTTTTGTTTGGTTGGCGAGAAGGCGGTATTTGTGATGCCTCTATTGAATTCTGATCGAAAGTCACTTTTCCTGTCGGTAATACGGTTAGTTGATGTATCGGATTTTAATTTTTGACAGAGAGCCGTAGTCGTTTCTTCAATACTCGAGTCTTTTCATCCATCGTGAATATCCGGGTCCATTGAAGATTGTGAGGCTTCGAGTTCCAATTGACGTTGCTCGAAATTTGTTTTGACGATTATATGCGGAATATCTGCGAGACCCCTTCGTCTGATATTAAATTGATTGAAGCATACTTTTTTTTGTTTCAACTGAAGAAAACAATTAAAACTAGCAAAAAAATGTATAAAATGGAGTACTTAACTTAGGCGGCTGTTATAACATTAATGTTAATATTGTGTGACAATTTGCAGTATATATTGCAAATATATATATATATATATATAAATATTCATACTATTGACATAGACAACAATCAATATCACTTTGACATTTAATTAAAAAAAATAGAAATAGCATAATTATGATGATCTTGAGCCGGAATCTTGACGATGACCACTAATCTCAAACATGTTCATAGACATGCTATAGTCTTGATCGTCGGCCGACTGGCGGTCTGTCTTTGTCGCACATACGTGCAATATAGGAATTTAGAAGTGTTTTATTTCTAACGAACCGATTGGTCTAGTGATGTGATATTAGTTCTGAAAATAAATTTGAAATTTTCGTCAAATCTACTTGAAATTTACTTTCCCAAATTTTTGATTTTATCCTCTTAAATCCTAGAAAATGAGTTGGTAATCAAATAAAATGGAATATTTAAATTATTTACAGAAATTAAAATAAAAAGTGGGAAAGTCGGTTTAACTAGACTTAACGGTAAATTCAAATCAGTTTTCAAAATTTGTATCGTTTTACAAGTTAAATCGGTGAGTTTGCAATAGAACACGTTTAAATTTTGTTGAACGTATGTAAGATAGAAAATCACCGCTTCCAATCTCCTTAATATTTGTCCCGACTATGGTAGATAGGTGGAGAATACCCATTATTATGTTTGACACCTTTGTGAAAAATGCATTTTGCGTCACTGTGAGTAAATATAATATAGGTACTTATAATAAATAATTATATTTTATATTTAACATAAAAACCATGTTTTGTTAGTTTGACTCACAGTAATTGAATGATGTATATTATACAATTGAACCGTTTCCACGGTTTTGGACATTGAAAAATTTAATTGGTATATTTCAGTTTAATTATATCTAAAAAAAATCAATAAAAATAAAAAATAGGTAAAGAAAACGTGTATTAGTCTCTAAATGAATAAAGCTGTTGATACTTTGTAAGGATTCTCAGAGGAGCGTATAGAATGTTTTGATTTTACGAAAAAAATTTTTTTTTTATGTCGGCAGCCGTATTTTCGGTTTGTAGAAGTACTGGAAAACTTTTAAACCATACTTAAGATTTTTCCGGTAGTAGGTACGTCTTTATATATTCCACGTGTGTCTCTAGATTCTTCGCAGTTTTTTTTACCCTATGTGACTTACTATATAACGACTATTTTCTAAGAAATAAAAGCTATAAACAAAGATTGGTTTTCGAGATTTTATGCATAAAATTTGCATTGCTTGAATATTTCATTAACTGTTACGATGTTATGAATTCGTATTGAAATGTTCACACTGATTGTAGTATAGGTATTTAAAATACGAATATTAACTTTTTAAATTTCAAGTTTGACTTCGTTATGGATAATTATGTATTAATTCCTTTCTACTCAAAAAAATCACCTGAGGTCTATCTCATCACAGTTGAATTAGTTAGTAAATTGTTAAAAACTGCATTAATCCATCTTCCTCACATAATAAACTCTATTTTAAGACTCTCATACTTATCTATTCAACGGAAAGTGTCTCTCATAATTTTAATTCCCAAACCTGGTTAATCCCCTTACAATTCGTCTTCTTATTACCTAATAAGCCTACTACCATTTTTTGTAAAATTGTGTACAGTGTAAAACGAATATTCAAAATAATTTATGACAAAAAAAACCATTCTCCACACATAATTCGCCTTCCAGAATAAACACTTTACCATCCACCAAATACATCGTCTACTCATTGGAAAACAAATCATATTGCTCTGCTATTTTTCTCGACGTCGACCAAAGTTTTTCGACGTTCGAAGTTCGGAACCATGGTCTCTTTTGATGAAGGGGTAAGTTGAATTCACAACAATAATATCAATATTATCTGAGGACCCCCACATGAACGTATATTGTCTCTGTCTAACTATACGTAGTTCTATTTTTAAAAAAAATTGGAATAAAATATCATTGTAGCTCATCAGCGCATGCTTAAGTTATGTTAGTTTTTTTTTTGTTGCTATGATAATTTTTAAACTTTTTAAATAGCGTTATTCAAACTCTAATTTCAACATAAACGCTAAGATTTCCATTCTAATTAATGAACGTAAATAATTTTGCTTATGTAATCAGTTAATATACAGTTAGGCTGAGACAATATGGATGCGATTGTGACGTCTTTTTAAGATTGACTTATTTGTTTTATTTAGTGTTCTTACTATGGATTATGTTCCCAGATAAATATGCGGTATTTGAAAATGTTTCACTTTTATCGTAGGTATAATTTTAATTGTGATTTTTATAAACGGTAGATAGTTTCATTCATTTAAATTTCTTGTATGATAGTATCATAGTTATATCATTTTACTGAATCAAAAACATGTCGATTAAACTACTAAAACATTAGGATTGAAATATATTCACGCAACAATACTTGCATACTGTTTGCAACTTACCCAATTACTCGTTGAAACACGCGCGTTGAAATTATAGATTAATTCGTTTACAGGCCATATAATAAAATTAATATATGTATTTGTTATGTAACTCGTCCGGATAAAATTTTTAATTAATTATTATTATAATATTAATTTTTAAATTAATTACATTTTTCGGTGAACTGGTAATTGGCTTGGTAAGTTAACCGCGAAACTCGTGTGAAAATATTATAATGAAGCTCTACGAAAAACTTTACAGAAACCTTTCACTATCTGTAGCTATAAAATATAATACGATGATGGGATGCTGCTGCTGCAGTAGGGTTAACTCTGGTGTTTTTGTTGTTGCTCATATTGTTGTTCGTGTTCATTAATTAAAATATACCAACCCCTCCAACCCTCTCCTTCTCCATTCAGCCCCTCCATTCCGCAAAGTGATGTCGGTAATTTTTTTTAGATATATATATATATTTTAAATAATAAATTATTATTTTTTTAGCAAAGTCAGCAAATGTTCGTGACACGCATATGTCAACCTTCACGTTATCGTAAAAAGTCAATATAATAATATACTGATACGCGATACTATGAAAATAAAATTACCTATCAGTTTTCATCATTTGACGTAAAATAAATATAACAATAAAATTCACGAACATTAGTGTGTGAATATAATTTCAAATGAATTTATGAGATATATTAAAAAGCTAGACATTCGTTTCGCACTACGGGTGGGCCAATTCCGTTGGTAAGGATTTAGGAGGATATTGGTTAGGTACATGGTCATAATTTATAAAGTATCTATACAGAAAATAATGAAAAATCATAAAACTAATCTAAAAATGTTTCTGAGCAGTGCTTGTTTGAACTAGTAGGTGGTATAGAATCAATTATATTTATTTCGCAAAATGTAGCTAAAATAACCCAAAAATCAGAAAAAATAAAATCAATGTGTCGTTAAAAAAAAATACAACAAAATATGACGATATTTTGTTGTATTTTTTTTTTTTTAATTTTATAGAAAACCTATTGGGATTCTAGAAAAGTTTTACAAATAAAGTGACTTATTAGTCGGTGTTCTCATCGTTTAGATAACTTTTTATCTAACATAGTTATTATTTTTCATTAAGATTGTAAATAACTTAAATTAGTGTAACTAGTTGTTTTTTTTCTTTTTAGCATTTTAATTTTAACCGGTTGGAAAATTTGTTTAGTCATTCGACCCTGACTATTGACTATAACCGATAATGTTTATTGTTATAGGTGAAGTTATTAAATGAACAAAAAAAAGTTATTACTTACTTTTTAGTGTACGCTATCTGGTTACTTATAATACTTAAATCTCAATAATTAACACGGTGGTAATGTGAAATAATTTAGTTTTTGAAATATTTATATACGAATACACTATGGTCTATAGTAACTCACAAATTCGTTAATTTCTACGATTCGGAGTTGACAGACGCGGTAAACTGTTTGCGAGTTATTATTATTTTTTTTTATATATTTTTGACGATAACGGTATTTTTTTTTTTAATTTTCGGTTTTTAATCGAATGTTTGCGACTGAAATATTCCTTTATATTTTTGGCCGAATGCAACTATTTTAATCTATAATGAAGTTTTTCAAGCGACAACGGGTTGAATAAAAGTCAGTCATTATATTATTATTATTATTATTATTATCATTATTATTATTATTATCGTCAAAAGTTTTTCTCTTTCTCTTTTTCAGTGCGTTTTACCAAAACAAAAGATTTCTATACGCCCGAAGGCTTTTCGAGAATTTCTCAATTTAAAAAATCGTTTTTAAGTCCGGTATGCGTCGTCATCTTCTGAAATTCCTCGGGCGACAACGGCTGGTAAAAATTTTATGTCCACACCTTTGCCCGCGTGAGGTTTGATTACACAATGAAATAGAAAGAAGTTATGCGGTGAAAAAGACAAAAAAATAATAATAATAATAATAATAAAAGTAAAAGAAAGTTTTTTCTTGTTTCATTGCGTCCAATTAGAAGTAGCAACAACTCTGAATGTGCCGTATGTGCCATACGCGTTATTACATTCCGCGATATATTTCTCGTATACTTCTCCTTCTCACGCAACTACCGTCGAAAAAAAAAAAGTAAAAAAAAAAAAACATTTTGTTTGAAATTATATGACGGCAAACGTGCGGTATAGACGGTAGCAGCAAATGTACCTTATCTATGAATTTG